CTGATCTCACAAATACAGGCCATTTACCATCTCACAACATCCATAACAATAACATTACCTTATCAGCTCAGCATCACTAATCAATCATCGATTGATCGTGTTTGTGTGTGTACAACTGCAGCAGTGGCGAGGCGGGCTGTGTCAGGTTTGTGTGTGATGTCACAGACTTGGGGCGGGGCTTCAGTGCAGTTATCCGAATCTCAGCCCGACTGTGGACAAATACACTTATAGAGGTATGCGCGTGCGCGCGCACACACACACACACACACACACACACACACACACACACACACACGTGTAGGTGGTGATATTATTACATTTCTCCTTACAGACTCCTTATCAGAACTATGAGCTCGTTTCCTTTGCATCTTATGACGTCATCAACTCATCATCAAAGGTCCAACCGCTACTGCTGGGCAGTGGACACACACACACACAACAGTTCCAGTTGAGGATCTAATTGGGTAACTTTGTGTGTGTGTGCAGACTCAGCTCAGAGTATTGTGGCGTCCTCCAGACAGTGAGAAAAGTGTTCCTATTGGCTACATCATTCTGTCAGTCATCTGTGGGCTCCTCCTCCTCTGCATTCTCTGTTTCATCTTCTGGAAGGTATCAATCAATAAATCAATCAATCAATCAACCACTACAAAGCCAGTCGTACAGACTAGTCTAGCATTCAACAGAGACACAGCTGGTCTCTACATCTAAACTAAACATCACTACTCCCACGTCTAATGTCTGTAATGAACTGGATCCGCACTCTGTGCTAATGCTCGCGAGGCAGGGGAACACATTCTGTCGGTACCTTGGTGCAACACAGATCCTGCCACAGTTTGTTCCCCCGGTTCAAATCACGGACAAACAGTATCCCACAGGTGTTTCTGTTTTTAAACTAGTGCTGTCAACACTAACATATTAATACGGCGTTAACACAGCTAAATGCGTTAACGCGATCATCACGATTAAAACTGTGTGGAGTCTTTCATAAACTGCTTATGCTGAGTCTGAGTCTGCAGAGGGTACCAGTGCTGTGGAAGACATCATGCCTCGTCCCTGTACCAAAGACGCCACGTCCCAGTGGCCCCCAGGATTACAGGCCCGTGGCACTGACCTCCCACATCATGAAGACCCTGGAAAGGCTCATCCTGGACCAGCTGTGACCCATAGTAAGACCACATCTGGATCCCCTTCAGTTCGCTTATCAGCC